ACAATAATTTTTAAATCATTATTAAATAAAATGATTTAAAAGCAAGCAAAAAAGGTTAATTTTACACAAGAAAAAAAAATATTTATCGCAAGATTGCTCTGCCGCTGGATGATGCTTCTTCCAGATCTCCTCCTCCTCTTAGAATAAAGTTGACATCCTCTCGCACAGGACACTCGCGTAAAACACTCGCGAATAATACACTATAATCGCATGCGATTATACAGTGTATACACTATAACTTAAGTCCGATAACTTAAACGGCACACCCGATGCAAATGCGCGACGCGACAAACCGGTTGCGGTTCGTTCATTTTCAAATAAATCGACGACGAGAGTACGTTAGCTTCCCCATCGTTGGATTTACGTAAAAAGAATGATTTTACTTAAGTATCTAAAAATTTATCTAGAAATATCATTCAGATAGATCCGAAAATTTTTTAATATTTGAGAAAAACCATTCTTTTCGTGTAAATACCTCTGGGTACTAAGTCCTCTCACCACGTCAAGGGTACCCGTGAGAGAAGGAAGATAATCTGAAAAACATAATATATAGCTATTATCTATATTACTATGCTATCGGTTAATTTTTAGAAACGAATAACACGTTTGCAATTCGTTATCATCGTGAAATAAAATCAGAGCAGATAAAAGAGCTGAATCTTTTTATTTGTACATAGATGATGTCTGTAAGATATGATTAAAATTTAGAATGAAATAAGAATTAAAAAAGAGAACTTTCTTTTATTACCGATAAATAATTCCAAAGTTACGGTTAATTTTTAAACGGATTGTATAACGAAAGGTGCACAAAAACAAAAAATTAATAAAATTGTTAAACTGTATTAATTGTGAAAGCAGGAATTGTGACTTTTTTGCATGAGAGTATTCATATTAACATTGCGTTTTTATGACTCGTGTGTGATACCACTCGTACAGATAAGTAGCCGTGTTGCGTGCTGTTCTTCTTCACATTTTTTTTTTGAAAAATATAATCGGTAAAAATGCTAGATATAATACGACAGTTATATTTTATGAATATTCACATAATACGATTGCTAGTATGCTTAATTATTCATAAAGTTTCGCATTATATTTAACATTTTTCGCGATTACGTTTCAAAAAGGAATGTAAAGAAGAGCGGCACGCGGCACGCGACACGCGTACTTGCCTGTACGAGCTTCGGTAAGACAATGACTGTACGGTAACTACGCGTAAACATGACGCGCTCCATGCCACTCCGTACCCCCATTTCAAGGTCGTGCGCTGATCATCTAACTGTCGAAATATTACTGTTAACGTATATTACAAAATTAGTAAAATAATCTACTCATTTTATTATGTTTTATTACGTATTCTTCGATGAATATTACGCGATGTTTTATTATACGATTTACATTTTAGTTCTTAAATTCGTTACACACAACTCATCTATATCTTAACTCGGTATTCATAGTCAGAGCTTATATTCAAGATCGGCTTATTTCAAGACTTAAGTACAATTTTAAGAAGTTACGAATCAGAGGGCCGTATTAGCGTCTTAAGACATTACTTAGGACAATCTTGAATATAAGCTCTGACTATGAATACCGCTCTTAGATATCTCTAATTCATATATCTGTAATTCATATATCTGTAAATGTATAAAATGAATTCTATTTATATCCATTATTATATTTAGTCTGAATTGTTTTATAATTTAAAAAATGTTTGCGTTTATCTTTATTTGAAGAATGTATAACTTATTATTAGCCTTTATTTGAATGGAAATCATCAAAGAGAGTAATAAACATGATATAACTCTTAATACTCACCTTAATTTTGAACAACATTATTTGGGCATCCTTACATAATTAATCATCAATTCGTGAATATCTAATTTTCGTAGATTAATGCGCGACACCCAGAACGATCGTGCCATGTTCGTCGCCCTCCGCGGTCGCCGAGCGAATACCGAAGTGATGACGTAGTCAGTCAACCACCACGCCGCACTCTTCCCTCCTCTTACTTGTCGCCGCGCGACCCTTCCCCTCGCTTTTTGCCGGGCGTCGTTTAGATTATAATTAATTATTGCGTATGAAAAATATTAACGGTTTATTCAATTATTCGCATTTTGACAAACGAGTATTGTCATACATTTCGCGCTTTACTTTGTAGCATTCTAACCCTTGTTAAGTCTTGTTTTATAATATTTGCGCGGTTCTTGTAATCAATATTTATGTTGCGTGCATGGAATATATTTGATATTCCAACATTATGTCTCAATTTTTATTACTCTTTTAAATGATTCATAAATAATTAAATAAAGGTTAATAATATTCTATACATCCTTTATATAAAGACACAAATTTTATTAATATTGCGAAACAATTTGCGCTAAATACAGCTTTGGCTAAGAGTATTAAATATTTTGTCAATCATTATTTAATTTTTTCAGCTAAAAAATTAATTTATGACACTGCTGTTGCTGTAAATTATTATGTTTAAAAATTCTTGAAATTTACATATAATGTCAATCATGGCTCAGTAAAATAACTGAGTTATTTAAATAGTTATTTAAAATAATTAAAAAATATAAAATATTTGGGAAATTTATTTAAAACACCTAAATAAAAAATAAGTCAAAAGTGTAGTTATTTAAAATAATAAATACTAAATAACTATTTTATTTAAAATATGTATTTTATCAGTTTTTTACCTATTCTTACGATTTTAGATTTTAAATTCTGAAATTCATTATATATTTTTTATTTTCAATAAGTCGTAATTATTTTACCGAGCAACGATTGGCATTACACGTAAATTTAAAGAATTTTTAAAACGCAGAATAATTTACAATAATATAGTGTCATAAATTTTTTAGTTGAAAAAATTAAATAATGATTGACAAGATATTTAATACTTTTAGCCAAAGCTGCATTTTAGCGCAAATTTAGAGCAAATTGTTCCGCAATATTAATAAAATTTGCATGTATCTTTATGAAGAATGTATAGAATATTAACCTTTATTTAATTATTTGTGAATCATTTAAAAGAATAATAAAAATAGGGACATAATGTTAGAATATCAAAAATACTCCTCGCATGCAAATTTTATTAGTATTGATTACATTTACAAAAATCGCACAAATATTATAATATAGGATTTAACGAGGGCTAGAAATGTCACAAAACAAAGTGCGAAATGTACGACCCGTTTGTCAAAATGCGAATAATTGAATAAACCATTAATATTTTTCATACGCAGTAGTTGGGTATAATCTAAACGGCGCCCGGCAAAAAGCGAGGGGAAGAGTCGCGCGGCGACAAGCAAGGGAAGGGGGGAGCGCGGCGCGATGACTACGTTGACTACGTCATCACTTCGGCATTCGCTCGGCGACTGCGGAGGGAGACGAACGTGTGGTACGATCGTTCCGGGTGTCGCGCATTAATCTACGAAAATTAGATAT